GCTACATTTGTTTTACTGGGCATTGGGATTGGATCGATTATGAAAATAGGGAGCTGTCGTATTCCCGGGTAGTTCTACCTTAGAGCCACATGTCCTCCTTCATTGTACTCAATAAAAAAAAGGTACATTATGATGAACCAAAAATGTTTGTACTAATTTTTGGTAACAGTATTATTTATATTACTATAAACAACAAAACGATAATATTTATTAATTGTACATAAATTCCGTCACAGATTGTCTGTTTATATCAGAATCATTTTATAATTGCAACGGACTTTTTAAAATTTACATTATGATGAACCAAAAATGTTTTTCTTTTGGGATTTATGTGTGTAAAAGTATTATTTATATTATAATGAACAGATTGACGAGGTATTATTTCAAATTTAAATGTACAGCATAACCTATGTATTATTTGAATTTTATTATTATCATTATATCTTTTAATAATGTCATTTTTTAAAATCCCCCTATTATAAACCCTACTATGTATAAAATTATTTTGTCATTTTAATTAAAATTATGTTGTTTGTAATACTATTATGTAACATATGACTTGTACAGAACGGCATGTTACTATGTTTAAATACACATATTTTATGTACATTTCTATAATTTCATTTAAAGTGAAACATTTTAAAATATACAATTAACTCCACCTGAAGAAGCATCACAAAGCAGGGAAATAAACTCCACCCACAAGTCCACAACCACTTCTACATTGTGTTGTGTGCAATCGGAATTAACTCACCAAAGAAGTAGACAATTAAAATTAAAAACCCAAATGGCATTTCCGTAAAAACTCAAATGGCATTTCCATAAGTAAATAAATAGTAAAAACCAAAATGTCATTTTCGTAATTGTCATTCATAATTCCACAAAAAAAACAAAAAAAAAAATACACAACTGATTGGAACAGGCCGGGCCCCTCAGGGGATTGTCATACCAAATTGTCCAAACAACAGGAGACATCTGGCCCCACATGCCTCAAATGTTATCAAATTAATGAATGTAGAATTTTACCTCAATTATCTCAAATTCAAATAATTCACTTTTTTGACAGAATTAACTTATAAACAAGCGTCCCCTAAGCTTTTAACAATGCCCTAACCTTTACTACTTGGTTAGCATGTAATCAACTTCTATATTATCTTAGACTAGCATTATAAGCAAAAAGATCAAGACTTTAACCTATCGAACTTCTACCTCTGAAAGATTCCAACTTTACTGTTGCAAAATTAATTCACAAAAAAACACGTAACCAAGTTTGGAAAAACTTACGAGATCTTGAGTTCTAAACTAGATCCCCATGTATCTAGTAGTATCCACAAGTAGTCGCAAGTCGGAAAGTTGACATCTTGATGCAATATCTAAACATTAAAAATTGAGTCTTGGAGCTCCCAAACTTCCACAAGAGTAAATACAAAATAAGAGAGAAAAACTAAAAATCTGAGAAAAATACTAAAAATGGAAATTGAAAACGTGTTTTTGGAATGCAAAGGACAATTGTATTTATGCCCCCAAGTGCTGTTGGAAAGCTTAGTGAATGAAATTAGTAACTCAAGATTAAAGTTTGAAGCCGTGTGTCTTCCACCTTTAAAGTTGTAACTTGTTTTCTTAATGTTGCAAGAGAATTTAACTTAAGTTTATTAAAATTTGAATTAAATATATTAGTTAGTTAATGTGGCTTATCTTAGGCCAATATAAATGGACTTGTCTTCTTTTGAAGATAAGACACACTAAAAGAGGAAAAACAAAAAGAAAAAAAAAAACATGAATTTTTAAAGTCTTTTTTGCTTCATTTTTTCTCTTATAGTGTTTGGTCCAGACATAATTTTAATTCGTCGGATTTTATTTAGTTTTGTTGTTGTATCATGGAAAACAGACACTCATACGTGAATAATCTGTTTTAAGGACACTGTATTCTCATAGGTCTCAGTACTTTATTATTTAGCCATCTTAATTTTCATTCCCGATAAAGTTTCTTACAATCTTAAACAATTTTCGATTAGAAATGGCTACTGAGCAAAATACTATTGGCACTGCTGCTACTACAATTTTTATTTCTTTAGTGTCCCGGTCAATTCAAGTTCTTGAAGATCACAGATATTCAAATTAAGATAGACATTTAACCTGGAATCAAGTCTCCAAGCCTCCGAGTACATTCAATGGATAAAAAGGCCAAGCAGAATAAAGAGTGACAACAGTTTATTATTTGAGTTCTTTAAGATCAAGGGCATTCAAATTAAGATCTACGTTCAATCCGGACAAGATGACTTTAGGCAAATTAGACTAATGAATCGAACAGTAGTTGGAACGCTTCGAATATCAAATACTATCAACTTATGCCAATTTTAACAATTTCAGTTTAAACATAATAATGGCCTTGTTTGGTATAGAGCTGTTAGCTGTTTGCATTAGATGCTTTGACCAGCTGATTGTATTAGTTGTTTTGACCAGCTGATTGTGTTAGCTGGTTTAAAAGAGTGTTTGGTAAAATTAGTTATTTTCAATTAGCTGTTAACATGTAAAATTACTTATAAGGATATTCAACATATTTTATCATTCTTATTTATGTGAGCTTATATTTATTTAGAAAATAAAATTAATTAACATTTTAAATATTTATTAAAGTTACTAAAATAAAATAAAAATATAAATAATAACTCACTACACTTATAAACAAGTCTCCTAATGTAATTTTGTAAAAGGTCATTAACTGGGAATAAATTCGAGCACTAATGGTCGATCGGAAGGAGCTAATCCAAACCCCTCCGGTAAAATAAGAACAGCCCCCACAGCACCGTTAGAAACTTGACTAAAGCATCCTTAGCTAAAGGAACGATTACCGGAAAGTAGCACACAACCTCGCTCTGTGTAAGCCGATTCGTGAACAGACGATTCTTCGCTTTTTCTTTATTTTCCAACAGTATGGCGATATTCTGCCTCTTCCATCCGTATTTCCAGTTCCTTAATCAACGCTCGATTACATTGACCTTTCAGTCTGGTAAATAGTGGGTAAAGAGACGCGACTCGGTTAGCTACGGCACCTGGCGCATTAGTTGAACGATATAAAGCGCGTCTGGTAATTTTGGAATCAGGTTACAGGTCTTGATTATCATGAGACTGGGCAATCATTAATTCCATAAACATATCCCAAATTAAGCATGTACCAACAACACCACTATTTGCAAATTTAGACAGAAATAAAAGGGCAGTTATGGGAGAAACATTTAATTGTCTCAAAAGCCAAGTGCAAAACGCTCCAAAGTTGAGCGTTTTCATTTTTAGCTGTTGGAGCAAAAAACCCAACCTCAAAAGCTAATTACCAAATATCTTTTTGCTTGAATTTGAAAAAGTCAAAAAGCTAATTTACCCAAAAAACTAAAATATGGCAAAACGCCATTTTACCAAACAAGGCCAATATATTTTTACTTAGAGCGAGTTGAACTATGTCTAATAGGTATAAAAATACATGGAAGTATCATAGAATCCTTAGGGACCAAAATTAGATATGTTACTTTAGCCTATTTAAACGAATTAAGATCAAAGAGCCAAATAAACTCGTTCATTAAATAAGTCGCGACAAGCTTGTTTTTCAAACAACTTATTTTTTATTTTTATAGGTTTTATATAGTACAACCCAGTCAAAATTATTAACACCTTCTGTTCGTGAAAAACTCATATATAAGAGTTTAGATTTATTAAACGAGTTTAGGAGAGCTTTTACTAATTTAAATGAGTCGACCTCGAACATTAGACTTTTGGTTTGACCTGATGAAGACTCGATTAATGCTTCTAACCAAAATCTCTAAATTAATAGCACATGTGCAACTCACGTGATGAGTTTAGGTGAAAACAGAATTATGGATCAAAACTGTCATCATATTGTAAGGTTCTCATAATCAAACCTGTCGAGTTATTGGTCAATGGTTCTGTTGTCGGACCACTGGATGAACCGATTGGATCAATTATTAATTTATTAATATTTTTATGTAATAAATTTTACATATAAAAGCATTATTATTTAAATATTTAGATAGTCTAAAATAATCAAATACTAAACTAATACATAAACAATTCATACATATCCATATAGCTCAATATGTATTTTATTTATATTAAAAATATTTTTATAAATTAAGTTTATTAAAAAAACAAGAAATTTGGACTCATCTAATCAATCAGCTGGTATTTAGCCGGTTTTGACCGGCCTGTTCGGTCATTGACCGATTCTTGAGCGGTTTGCTGGCAACTTATTTATTCTAGTAAAACCGATCGGTGCCGGTTCCGATCCAACCTATCGTCTCGTTTCAAAAACAGTGCTAAAATAGGAAAATGTGAACTGCGGAGTAACTTATTGTGGAGTCCCTCCAACCCTGGCTAGAACAAGGGAAGCGAAGAGAGGAACACGAAATTTCGACAACCTACTTCAAATTTCAGAGGATTTTAGCAGCAACTGAGGAAGAACATGAAAACAAAATCGCGAGCTTCTGGATGAGCTCGGAGATCTCTGCCTTCTGTTTTACTGGTTTTCATCAACAAGAATAGAACATTTTACTTCTGTGCGGTTTTTAGACGTATTGGGATTGTTCTTCCGGAGCTTTATTGATTATACAGCTATGTTGTCGCAGTCATGTGTGGCTATTGTGTCACACACATATATCTTACACTTTTCGTAGTGCGTTTTTCACAATTTGAGAATGGAACCCTAACATTTAATTCATATCTCGTTTTGAGGAAGTAAGTGAGATTCTATATATATATCTAATCCAGCGATGATTTCAAGTGCCAAGATGGTTCATCATGGATTTGCAGTCTTTCAAGTGTTCATAGCAGTAATCGGATCTTTGGGTGGCCCGGTATGTATTCTGTGATTTATTTATACTTCTTTATGTGGGGTGGTGGATTGCATATGCCATTGTTTTGTAATTTGGTTCTGCATTGCAATGAGATTTAGAATTGTTTGGTCCTGCTAGACGACTTGTGATTTTAACCCGACATATTTTTGGGTTGTAAATGTTATGATCCTTTGGAATTTCAATTTGTATTTTGGTTGAAGCCACATTTTTTATGTTGTGCAGAATGTTAATGGTCGATGAAATCGGATGTGTATGCATATGGCATTCTACTCTTGAACCTGATCAGTAAGAGACAAGGGAATTAAGTTTTGGATGAAGGTAATGAAAGGAGAAAAGGAACCAATTGTCTATATTTAGCAAACCCAAATACAAGACCAAATCGAACATATTAACAGACAATGTCAACAATAGAACCCTCCATTTTTCATTCCAATATATTTTGCAGTTACCAGTGGAAGTAGCAGAATATTTTATTTTCTAAAAATAGATTATACCATAAACAGAAGGCAACCTCTTATTACATGTGCAAATCGAATGGTCGTCCGGCTCCTACTATCTTTATTCACGTTCTCTCTTCTATTGTTTGTCCTAATTTCCTTTCCTTGTTCTCTTTTTGTTTACCCCCTGTATGCTCTGAAATTAGATTTTATTTTATATAAACAAGATATCAAATGAAAAAAGGAAGGTCCTTTTTGTATTATGCCCACAAAAGTAGGGGGATGTGTGTTTGCTCGAAATAATTCTATATTTACTATATTTTGCCTTTGAGATATTACAGGACCTCTGATAATATCTTGCATAATCTGACCTTCTTCCACTTGGAGAAATCAACTTTTGCCTAGTGCAGCAAGGAATTGAAAAATCCCTTTTCCCTTTTTTTCTAAAAGAAAAATGAGTGTGATCGACATCCTGTTCAGGATTGATGATATTTGCAAGAAGTACGACAAATACGATGTCGAAAAGCAACGGTCCATTAATGCCTCGTCCGACGATGCTTTCGCGCGGCTCTATTCCTCTTTTGAATCTCAGATTGAAGCCATTGTCCGGGTCTGTATCTTACAAAACTTTCTGGTTTCTAAAAAAAATGGCTACATGTGATCAAAATTTTATAACAATTGTTGTGATATCTCTATTCCTTTGAAAATATAATTACTTCCAGAAATCGGAGTTGGCAGAGATGGAGACAAACAGGGCAACTGTGGTGGCATTGAATGCAGAGGTGCGCCGGACCAAAGCCAGGCTCCTGGATGAAGTGCCTAAGCTACAGAAACTTGCTCAAAAAAAGGCAATTCTTTTATTATTATTGTTAATCTAACATATTTACTCATTATGATTTATGGGTTATGGATTCAGATGGATAATTTAGAGCCTGATATGCTTAGAAGGGAATTTGAAATTCATTTATACGTGGTTGCAATGATCACAACGGATATTATGAGGTTTCAAAATCGTACTATTGTATTGCTTGAGATTAGTTTTTGGGTTGCTTTCGTGTTGTAGTATAAAAGTTGACATGCTTTCTTCGTATATTTCTATTATATTTCTTTCTCACAATGTCCCTGTTTTTTTGCTTGATATAGTCATAATTACATATGGCACCGGGCATTTTAACGCATTTTTAAGATAAATTAAGTCATTACGTGATATATATATATATAATGGGTTCAGAATCTAGAAAGCTAGAAATGGGTTTTGATTTGGAATTCTATCGTTATTGTATTAGCTTAGCGCTTAGGACACTACTCTACACGTGAAGATAGTTGTTTAAGGCCAATATTATGATTGTAATGAGGAACTACACACTAACACAGGTGAAAAATCTCTCTAGAGAAGAATTAGAAGCTCGTACAGACCTTGTTCTCGCACTCCCTGAAAGAATTCAAACAATACCTGATGGAAGTAGAGGTGCATTCAGACAATCAGCCTGGGGCACTTCAAATAAGAACATCAAATTCGACTCTAGTGGTTAGTTTATCTTAATGTATAGTGATCCTTATCAATTGCTTATATGAATGTAAAACCTTTGTAATTTTGATATCAGTATTATTATAACCTCTGTGAATATGATATCAGATGGGCACTTTGATAACGATTTCTTTGAACAAACTGAAGAGTCAAGTCAATTTAGGCAAGAGTATGAGATGCGAAAACTGAAGCAGGCTTGTAACTTCACTCACTCTCTCTCACACACACACGCACACACTCATATTCATAACGTCTGATTTATTTTATTCAATCTTCTGGTGTAATCAAATACTTCTCATGCAGGATCAAGGTCTGGAAGTCATATCAGATGGCCTGGATATGTTAAAGAATTTGGCAAAGGATATGAATGAGGTTTTGCTCGGTGCATTTCTTTCCATTTTGAATCCATCATTAGGCAAACAGAACTAATTTTTCTTTTCTTTTTTCTTTTAGGAATTGGATAGGCAGGTCCCACTGATTGATGAAATTGATACAAAGGTTTGAACATTTTCTCCTTGGGGACTAATAGATTTATTTCTTAAATTTTTCTTAAATTGAGAATAGTAAAGAAGTATATTTGCCCACCCAACATTCTCATTGGTTTTCTCGTAGGTTGATACAGCAACAAGTGATCTGAAACGCAATAATATCAGGCTCAAGGAAACACTTACTAGGGTAATTTTACAAAATGTCTCTAACTTTATAAAGTAGAGATTTTTCCTTCCCCATTAATTAATATTCGAATAAATGCGATTCAGGTGAGGTCTACACAGAATTTCTGCATTGATATCATTTTGCTGTGTATTCTTCTGGGCATCGCACTCTATTTATACAAGTGAGTCCGCTGGCTTTGTTCTATTATTCCACGTGCAAATATGATATAATGCATTTCTTGCAAGTCCTTTTTAGCTTAGTTGTTAATCATAGTGCTGCAATCTATATAATGTTGCTTGCATTATTTTTCAAATAAAATACCATTATATACTCGGATAGGTAAGATCTTGAATGAAGAGATATGAAAGCAGTCCTATACTCGTTCTTTTATATACGTAAAAAGAAAGAGCCCACGATTTGAGAATGCAATATACATTCACGTGTCTAATTCTTGTGTCGTTGTACTAACTGAGATGCCTTCACTTGATGCAGCATATTGCGTTGAATGCAAACCAAATATTCTCATGCACTCGCGCGCCTCGTCATAATTCAAGTTTGCTGGGTCACGTATGTATGTTATTTTGTTGTGTCAGTTATTCTTTTGTTTATCATTTTAGACAGACTTACTTCTCCCAGTGAGAATGTCCTCTTAACTCATTGATTTACTTTTCCTGATTGGTGTTTTTTTATACTTACTAATCTTGTTAAAATATAGATGGCCTTTTTTAGCAGTATATTATCATTGGGATAATTTCTCTAACTCTCTTATATGTATGGAAACTTGTGTTAACAAATTTATTTGTGCATTTTAAGTGTTTATATAGTATATGACAAGGATTGCACATTTTGCCCATAAAAAAAAAATTGTAAGTACAATATTTATACTTTTAAATTTTAATCTATAAATAAATTGTTGTTTAAACAAAACAATAGATCAATAAAATACAAGTAATAAATTCATGTGTAAAACTCATAAAGGTTATATAATAAGTTCAAAATCCATTTTAACCAGATTATTATAGTTTTTGAAACAATGTTTAATTGTTTGCTCACACAGACACTCTATTTTAATTATTCATTTGTTTGTTAAATATAATCATTATGGATTTTTTTTTTCTTTTTGCCTCCCAAAGTATTTCCTTTTTTAAGTTTGCCGTATAAAATTTTAAAATTGATAAATTGCCTCTCAAAATACTTGAAAATCACAAGTTTTCTCCTCTAATTAAAAACCGTAACATGACATAAAAAGTATTTAACTCAACTAACGATGAATATTATTCGAACTTAAAATTGATGTAGAGCTTTTAAAACCCACGACGAGATGTACAAATATAATGAATTGTTTATCCATTTATGATTGACTCATTTGTATTCGATCGATGAAGTTCATAAGCAGCACACGTGCATATGAAAAATTTTAAATTTCTCGATGATCTAGATATTCGTTATTTGATTTGGAGGTGTCACTGAAAGCTTATAAAAAGAGTTTTTAAGATGATAAATCTTATGAAAATCCAATGATTGCATTCTGATCACTAGGTAAACAAATTGATAAATATCTAGCTTTTTTTTAGACTACTAACCAAAATTTCACAGTTGGACTTTCATACGTCCCATCTCATTAGAAAACTCATCCTACAAATTTTCAAATGACACATCCCGATCAAAAATCAAATATCTTAATTATAAAAAAATTAGAAGTTTTTATGGTACTAGTTATATAATCGTTACTTCATAATTTTATGTGTCAATTTATGATGCTTGGTAGGTTTGGACTTTTATATATGGTGGACCTTTAAAAATATAAAATTCTTGGTTTACTTCTATATTTGTTATTGGGTACTAAAATGTTTTTAACTTCAATCATATATTACAGTTAGATTTTGCAATGCATTAGGCTGTAGACACATGCAGATACGACATAAAGTTGAAGAAGGCAAAATGTGCGTACGTGTCCCTATAATATTCATAGGCCGGGTTTCTCTATGTACGCACCATTTGTTCACGATAAGCTCCCGATATTCACCAAGTGGCTTCTTTTCCTTTTCTTTAATTTCCCCCTACAAACTTGAAAATGATAGTAAAAAAGTTGGGGATAATCATTAATCAATCACCTTTTGCCTTGGATTAGATGACATCATTTTTCATCCATGCATCTTTTTCGATATAGATAGATAGATCTACCATTGTATAATAAAGGCCGTGCTTNAAATAGAGTATATAAAAAAAGTTAGAATGATTAGTTGTTAATGGAATTTCAAAAATATATTAAAATAATATTTAAAATAAAATAATTAAAATTGTTTTAATGTAAAAGTATGAGATAAATGATTGGAAATGATATTTAGTTAAAATTATGTGAGTGAATAAATAGTGAATTAAAGTTGATGTGGTGTGTAAGAATGACATATTTAATTATATTGATAATATTGAGAATAATAAAGTTGAATTAAAGTTAAGTTAGTTGAGATATATTTTTTTCTAGTTTTTTTTATAAACAAGCAAAGCCAAAATGTCTGGAAAATTTGAGCCGTTAGATTATTATACAATCGCATGAGTGTAAATGCGTATGTGCAATTTGATAGTTCTGACATATAGGCAAAGGTCGAATTTTCCGCATAATCTATCCTTATTTGTCACATGTAAAGAAAATATATGCTGTTGGCATTATTGGTACAACGAAATTGAATTTGATAGGAATGAAATGAGTTGAAGAATGAAATGGTTATGAGAATTAAATGAAATAAGTTTTGTCATTAATGCATTTGGTATGCAGAAGAAATAAGACCGGAATGAAATGACATTATCGTCCTATACTATCATTTATCACTATTTTATAGTAAAAAAATTATATTTATATTCATGTTATTTTCTTATTTATGATAATACTAATATTATTTTATATTTTAAAAATATACTATATTTTAATAAACATACTTTTTTTATTGTAACACCCATCTTATATAATAAATAAGTGAATTATGTACTTTTATACATATTAACTAATACAACTATATCATTACATAAATCACTATAAGAATATATGTGGTCAAATATACTTTTTTATAATATAATTCAATTTATGAATAAATATATAATATATATGTTTATATAAAATAAATAAGATTTTTCTAAATTATTTATAAATGCATTTTTTTTTTAGTTTTAGATAAGTATTTAATATATCTAATTAAAATATGACTAATAAATAAAAATAATATTTTAATTTTTTATTTGAATTTTATTTTTAAATAATTTTATTTCATATAATTTAATCATGATAATATAGTATATATTATATAGTTATTTGTTATTATTATTTGTTAATTTCATTTTTTAAAAAATTGATTCATAAACATATGGGAATAAAAAAACCATCCATTAGCAATGGAATGGCTAATCTCATATGTTGTTGTATGAAATTTAACAACGACAATAAACAGTAGCAGGATGTAATTAAAGTAAAAGCAATGAAAATTATTGTATTATTGTTGTCTTTTTGGGAGTAAGGAGGTTGATTTTTGTGTATAACAGAACTGTTTTTGTTCAACCATGTACAATGCGCGTCAAAAGATCCCCGTACAATCATAAATTCTTTTATTTATAGTACGGTGAGTTTGACTTTTCATACGAGGTAGATCAGATTCTCATTTAATGTTGAGCAGCTTTATTAAAGCGGTCTGTAGTGTAATGAGGGGACAACAATGATTACCGTTTTGATAGGTGGCCCAATCAGGAACGATCTTTGTCACCAGCTTTGAGATTCAGTCTTCTCGAACCTCAGTTTAAGTGGATAACCTTCGGGGAAGAATATTCACGAAGTCGGTTCTTTGTCTTTTATGCGAAGTCGGTTTACCGCCTTGGATAGGTCGGTTGTCACCTATATGTGTGAGGTCGGTAATTATCTCTTTGCGCCGAAGTGGACTAAGTTTACTGAAGGAATTGAGCTAAAGAGAGTATTCTGAGAACATAATCAATAAATTTTCTTTTAATCCTGATAAATCAAGTCGATTGTCAACACCATATATATGGGTTTTGCGATTCACATTGGAATGGTCATTCGCTTCTAAAAAATGTACCAATCATAGGAATAAAAATGGGTAAAAGAATGATCATTCCATTCCTACTTTCATTCCCGCACAGCAATGAGGCCATTAAAGTTAATTATAATACAACAATAGGACGCAGGTAAACTGTTCATGCGTGTGACAAAATTATAATGCTAACTCTAGAAAAGAGAGATGAAAAGATAGAAGATTACATATGAAATTACGTTACCTTTATGGATGTGATTATATCCATGATCAACAACATTACAACTTGTCCTATGCTTGGCAACTTGGCTAAGAGCGACAGCGAGACAAAGATAAGAAAGGACATCTAATTTTAACAAATACTGTCTTGCTTCATATATATTTATGTTGTAGCTTGAGTTCTTTGTTTTTCAATTTATGTATTTTTAGCAATATACTAAAAATCAGCTTAGTCGGTCACCTTCTATCTGCATAAATCGACTGAAAATTTTGACCAGACGCTTCTAGGCAGGCTCGTGGCCAGGCAGCTGGGCGGGCCTAGGCGTTCCTAGGAGGAAAATATCTAGATTCGTCACTGACTAAGACACATATCCGATTGTCTTGAAGTCTCGGTTTGACTTACCAAGTCTTTTTCTTCTCACCTTGGACGACACAAATAAAAATCCTTTATGCATCTTGGACTGAAAATGGTGGCTCTGGACGGTACATTGCCAAATTGATTTATTCTTCCTTCCGATCTTACAAAAACACCAAGACGCACCAGACAAACTTAAAATATACAAACATGACTGAAAAACTAAAAAATTAATGATTAAAATGAACGAAAAATGGACTAAGAAACGCAATTAAGGGCTGAAATTGACTCGACTCGACTCACTATTTTAAAAACACAAAAAACAAGAACAAAAACATAAAAAAACATACACATTAAAGAAATGTTATTATTGACTATGGATAACATAAACAACTCGATAGAATGTAGATATCATCTCGTGTACACCTTTGTGAAAATGTAGAACCATAGCATCACCGCCACTTAATTATGTGAAACAACTTAGAAAATATCTAATTTTTTCGCTAATATTTTTTTATTACTATTTTGTTTATTTAATTATTTTTTGGGTACAGTACTATACTTAGTGGGCTTATGT